CACACACACACACACACACACACACACACACACACACACACACACACACACACACACACACATATGCTGGATGAGGAGTGTTTTATTAAAGTGCTAAGGCAAATGCACACTTTATGAGCTCCTCATGCACTCCTATAATCAAAACACCAGTGAAAGTGTCTGAGTGTGGGAAATGAAACGTTCATACACTCTACTGTATACATCACAACATTCAGATCGATCCTGTTTTTATGTTTGACCGATAAATCTAAAAATTAAAATTAATTAATTTATTTATTAAAACATTTAAAATAAATATTAATACTATTTTTTAAAAATGTGTATTAAATCGTCTCAGTCTTATTATTTTTTTTTCATTCAAAGCAATTCTCATTGTATCCACAAGGGGACAGAGTGAATGTACACAATCACTCATTCAGATCTGTGGGGAAATCTCTAGAAAACATGCCCAAGTGATGTCACTTCAAAAGTAATGATAATAATAAAACATTTTACATATAGAAACCATTTGAGATTTTTGCAGGTTTACTTTTTATGACAATTAAGCATATTTCTATCCATTTTTATATTGTAATGTGTTATCATAATTATCATAAAATATTTAAATGTGAATATGCCTCACATAATAATTCAAGCGAGCACAATAATTCAAGTGCATATATTTGATGTTAACTTTCTATAATGGTTGCAGAGAATATAGATGTTAATGATGGTACATTTTTCATGTTGTCATCTGTGTACCTGTGGTACTCGGTATTCATTTTACTATTAAGGTAAATGAGTCAAGCTGGAGTCAAAGAGTCTGTTCGCCCGTGGCAACTTTTATTTATGGGCATGTTCACTGTGCGCATGTGGAACTGTGTATTGGCATGGCTATACGTATGAAAGAAGCAGAGAAAAAGAGAGTATGAATGTGTGTGTATATGATTGAACTTGCAAGATCGGTGGTCTCTGTGAGTGTGTGATGTGGTTGTGAGATCACTTCGAGCCCGGGGGTAGGTGAACTACAGTAAACAATATATCAGTCCCATCTCTGTGGCCCCACCGCCTGTGTGCGTGTGCGGGGTTGCCTTTGAAGAACAGGGGTTGCATCGGGCCCTGAGGGTGGATATCCCTCTCTGAAGCTGCCCTTCTTTTGCTCACCCCATCTCTGTTTCTCTCATGCCCCGCTCCATCAGGACTTTCATTCCTCTCTCCCTCTGTCCTCAGACCTTCCATCTCATCTCAGGTCTTTTTTTACTTCTTTCCATCCAATCTCACGTTTCATCTGTGCTGTTCTATTATCATGTTCTTGTTTTTATTTTCTCGCCTATATGTGGGTGTTTCTTGAACAAAGGGAACTTTAGGTGCCAGGAGTTACTTTTAATTTAAAACTCGCAGATGTATTTTTCCTTTTATCATATGAAGGTCACATAACAGTTCTGTAAGCATGTTAATTAACTTTTATTGTGTAGATGTTATTGTTTAACCTTGTCCTAGACCCAGGCTTTCAGTTTTAAAATATTAAAGGGGTGGTTCATTGCGATTTCACTTTTTTAACGTTAGTTAGTGTGTAATGTTGCTGTTTGAGCATAAACAATATCTGCAAAGTTACGAAGCTGAAAGTTCAATGCAAACGGAGATATCGTCTTTTAAAATTCTGGCAGTTTAATGCCTACAAAAATGGCTTGTAGGGACTACAACGAGTTACTTCCCGGGACCCTCACACAGACTCCTCCAAAACATGCTGCTTCTGCGACCATCTCTCACCATATATGTGACCCTGGACCACAAAACCAGTCATAAGTGTAAATTGGTTAAATAAAGCTGAATGAACAAGCTTTCCATTGATGTATGGCTTGTTCAGATAGGACAATATTTGGCTGAGATACAACTATTTGAAAATCTGTAATCTGAGGGTGCAAAAAAATCTAATTGATTTAAGTTGGTTTCTATGGCATTTTTAAAACACACTCGCATGCACACTGCGCTCGTGCAGATTAAGTCATCATTATTATGAGAAAGTTAAACCCCCGGAACTTGATTTCAACCAAGGGGGACCTCAAGTTAATGCCCATTTAAAACCCATTGAACTCATAGTATTATTTATGCAATTGTAATTCATGCCACCTCTGAACTTGAATATACCTAAATGTCACTTCAGATGCAAACAATGTTATGGCCACATAGTAGCCATAAAAGAGTATTTGTAATAAATTCTACTTTTAATCCGATTTATTTATTTTTTTGGTAAAATAACGATTACCATCTAAAAAGAATATTACCTTCTGTCGTAGAGTATCCTGTCATGGAAACCATCCACAAAAAAAGTGTTTATTAAATGCCAGTGGAGAAGTAGGGGGTTTAGCCTACATGTTTATAGTGAAGTAAAGGAAAACACACACACACACACAAATATATATATATATATATATATATATATATATATATATACACACACACATATATACATAACTTCTTTTGCTCACCCCATCTCTGTTTCTCTCATGCCCCGCTCCATCAGGACTTTCATTCCTCTCTCCCTCTGTCCTCAGACCTTCCATCTCATCTCAGGTCTTTTTTTACTTCTTTCCATCCAATCTCACGTTTCATCTGTGCTGTTCTATTATCATGTTCTTGTTTTTATTTTCTCGCCTATATGTGGGTGTTTCTTGAACAAAGGGAACTTTAGGTGCCAGGAGTTACTTTTAATTTAAAACTCGCAGATGTATTTTTCCTTTTATCATATGAAGGTCACATAACAGTTCTGTAAGCATGTTAATTAACTTTTATTGTGTAGATGTTATTGTTTAACCTTGTCCTAGACCCAGGCTTTCAGTTTTAAAATATTAAAGGGGTGGTTCATTGCGATTTCACTTTTTTAACGTTAGTTAGTGTGTAATGTTGCTAAGAAATCTAGAGGTGCGCATAAAAATCTATTCATATATGAATCACGATTCTGTCTTATAACGATTCTAATGGATTCACAAGTTTCAAAATCAATGTTCTAAAGCAGCGGTTCTTAATACTGTTCCTCGCGTCACCCTGCTCTGCATCTCTCTCTCTCTCATTCAGCTCAGCTCC